CACTGGTGGTTTTTAGCCGGGGGCAATTCTGCTCCCCCAGGGGACATTTCCAGACAATGTCTCAAAACATTTTTGGTTGTTACAATTGGAGGCGGGAGGTGTTACTGATATCTACTGTGTAGAAGCCAGGCATGCTGCTAAATATCCTATAACATACAGAGGAGGCCCCCACAACAAGAATTATCTAGCCCCAGATTTCAACAGTGATGAGGCTGCTATATTCTACCTAGCTTCTGCCTAGCCTGGAATATAAACACATACATCAATTAAAAAAAACCCACGAAACTATATAATGAACAAACATAAAATGTACTTTCAAAACCCAATTTCTTCTTCCATACAATGGGCATAATTATAGCGATGCCAGAAGGTTGCAGGGAGGATTAAAAGAGACAACATACGAACCGTGCCTAGTACAAAGCTAGTATTCCATCAGTATTAGTTCATCCCAACAATAAAGTGCGTAAGTTAAATCACAGACCTAGAATGTTTTGGTACTGAAATGAGTCTTAAAGACTTTTTAGTCAAAGCCTTTCATTTTATAGCTGAGGAAGCCAGTCTTTAGACTAATGACTTGCCTAAATCATTGGCCTCAGATCAGTCTTTCCAGCTTAGTGGCAGACCACATTTTAAATGCACGCATAAGAGATAAATTGTAAGCTGACTCCTTTGTAAAACAAATAATTATCGTTTTTTGGTTTGGCTTGTGAATACAATTGTCATAGATATGTATAAAATTTTCTTAAAATATTTATAATACTAACAGAACAATTATTCAACTGGATAATGTTACCAGAAGTTTTCAGGGGTTTATTTTAAAATTACATTTTTACACGTATGCAAAAATAGGCACATGTATTCAAATAAAAAGTTCAATAAATAATACACTCTTTCTCTGTAGGAGATATAACCAGAATCCAGAATGACAATTTAAATAGTTTATCATAAGCCTCTGGAATATGAACAGGCTTTCTGACATCTATGCTAAAAATTAACCACCTTATAACGATTCAGTTCTTCCTCCTTGCTCAATTGCTAATACAATAAAATTTCTTAGTAAAATATAACTTAGAGGCACTATCCGACCTGAGATCTCAGATTCTAACATGTTATGGCTTTTAATATGAACACCAGTATAACCAGAATGTAAACAAATTATGGCATATAAATTAAAACATTTAAAATATTTTAACATCTATAGACTTTATTAGGTGTTCCTTATACAGTCATCTGGTATGTTTAAAGAGTGTGCAATCATATAAAAGGAAATATGGTCATAACTGATTGAAGTAATAAAATCCTGAAACTAAATAACATCTCATAATTCATTGCACAACATATATTAGATTTCATTACATCAGTATATAGCTTAGTAGTAAATTCTCCTGATGGCCATAAACCTCTAAGGTGTTGTCATCCTGAAAAATGAAGGAGGGGAGGGAGTTGGTGGGGTGCAGAATGGAGAAATCTTCCATAGTGCTGGTGTGATGTACCCTAAGTTGTAAAGTTATGGGGCATCGCCACCTAGTGGCAGAATTTCATGCCTTGTTCTAATAAAGGGACTTTCCTTGTTTTCCAAAGAGCTGTGTGTCTTATTCACTTTCTAAACATCCCTCTCTGTTGCTGTCCCTCCTAAAATCCATGCCTCCTGCCATACAGTGTAAACTCATCTGCTCTTCATCCATCAAGCTGTCAAGGATTTGGTTATGACAATTTTTATGTTCACCTAACTTTTTAATTCCAAGTACTTTGGTTATTTTCAAAGCTACACACAGGATGCCCATATTTTTAAAACTCCATGCTATTTGTGAAGGATTATTACTTTGGGCTTTGGCACAGTTTTTATTCTTACTGCTGAATCTTTTCATAAGTCAAAATTAGTGCAGAGTTAATGCTTTAAAAGGGAGTCCCTAAAGTAAATAGCTAAATGAAATATTACCAAAATGTACACTTGGGATTTATTAAGATTCTAGAATTTAAAAACAGGAAAAGGTGCCATCAGTGACAATTCCATCACTAACATTTTGGTACCACTCGTAGAGCTTCACATAAATATTCAGACCATGATAGCTCAGTGCAAGAATGTTACCAAATATTTCCATGCAATCTGGAACCAGGACCAGAGCTAGCAATTGGGGGTCCTAAGGTCCAACATCCCTTACACTGCTTCCTACACCTTGACAACAGGAAGGCTGAGTGATGCTAGGTAGTGCACTACAACAGTGAACGTAAGCCAGCCATCTGTTTTTTTGCAAAGTATAGTAAAACAGAAAAACAGAACTAGACCACTTCAGAGTAAACAAACATATCCTTCTTCAAGATGTAGGAAAACCAGATATTCAAAACCAATCTCAAACTTTAAACAATAAAAGATATCAAACATCTTAAACGGTACAAAGCAAATTAGCAGGATTTTAATGTTGGCAGTTTTAAAATGTCACCCATCCAAAACACAAAACAGGGAGACAGCCAAGTCTTAGCTCCATCCTAATCAAAGCTGTCATGCAGATCCAGTTCCACTCTTCTTATCTCCAGCAGGTACTTCACTCAAGGAGGTGACACCCAAGGGGAGTAGACGGACCAGAAACAAGAGTGCCACATAGAAGGAAGAGAGGAGACCTTGGACCTTAGCTACTGGTTAGCTATTCGACTTTGGTGATATTCAGCGTTTTCCCAAGTTATTTTTTCTCGCTTCTCATCACATAATTTACATTATGCATACTATGTGCCAAAAGCTGTTAGTGCTTGACATGTAGTCAATCTTCACAACTGTGTAAAGTAGGTTTCTATCATTAGCTCTATCTTAGGGCCAAATAAACTGAAGCATGGAGAGGTTAAATTGTATTCCTAAAGCACTACACAGTGAGCAAATAAGATTCAGACCTGTGCAGTCTAACCCAGAATTAGCTCTGAATCACCCTATCATTCTGTCTACAGGACAAGCCTGTGTGTTTCTGGCACTCTCATGGTGATTTTTCACACAGGACAGCTTTTGATAAAAGAAAGGCTCTCTCTTTCAAATGAAAGGACTTCACTGATGGATTAACAAATTCTCACCCATTCACCTATGTGAGCCAAATACTAGATCTACTTTCTTAGTCTTCATAATAAGCAGGATGATAACCATAATTTACAATGAACACAAAACATTGATATAGTGTTCAAAGAACTTTTGCACACTTGTTCTCATTTAGAAGAATGAAGTAATCTGGAAACATAGAATAGGCATATACTTTGGCTTTAGGAAGAACTCTTACAAAATCAGAGGTTGCCCTATGTAATGCCACACTTTTTACCTTGAGCAGGTGGATAGCCTGGGGGTTCCTGTTATACCTCAATCTTGGTCAGTTCTATTTGTTCCCCTGTCCTTCAGCAGTGCCCTTAGGCTTGCTTTAAACATTAACAGCATTCATAAGCATGGTTTCTAGGGTCAGAGCCCAGCCTCCCTCCACCCACCCGGCTCCCTACACACCTTGACAGTACTCTTTGAGATGCCTCAGTTCTAGTCTCCTTGTAATCGTACATGGTAGATGTCTGAACGAATAGACCAGAGTCCTGCAAAAGTGATCTTGAAATCACAATTAAAAGAGCCTTTGGAGACATCTATTCAGGAAAATTTTCTGAATAGACAAATGCTTTTAAAAGGGGTTCTAGACAGCCCATCTTCTTGGTCTCCTTCTGCAAAGTAGGACATTAAAACTTTGTCACAATGTGACCTGAGCAAAACCATTATCAAGTAATCTTGTTGTCTTGAACCAGACAAAAGAAAATTGACATGATTTAAGGACAAGTTTAGAAAAATAATCTGACTAGCAAAAAAAAAAAACACAAACAAACAAAAAAACCAGCGGGGGAAGCGGGTTCCTAGGCAATTTAAGAGGCTATTTTAGCAAAAATTTGAAGATGCTCTTCATGATACACACATTTCTCACTGCTTTACAAATTTTAAATGTAACACAAATTTGTTTCTCACACTGTTTTGTTATTTGAAGGCATTCCTGCCACACACAGCAATGACTTGTCCTGGAAAACCAGGGAGGCTGCAGGTCCCACTGTTCCTTCTCTGCTAGCTGTGGCTCCACACTCTCACCTCCACCAAAGAAAGCATTTCAGAATTTAGGAGTGGAAATGACAACATTAAATAATTCTAATTTCCTTTTTTCTTTTTTGGAGACAGAGCCACTGTCGCTCAGGCTGAAGTGCAGTAGTGTGATCTAGGCTCACTGCAATCTCCACCTCCCGGGGTCAAGCAGTTCTGCCTCAGCCTCCCGAGCAGCTGCGATTATAGGTGCCTACCACCACGCCTAGCTAATTTTTTTTTTTTTT